CACTGCCTCACTGCGTGAGCTGGCACATTTCATGTCATCTTCTCAGCCTCCACCCCCACCATTCCCCCCCACCTCAAACTGGGATTTACACCATTGCTCAGGCCTTCAGACTGGAACTGAATTACACCACCAGCTTTCCTGGGTCTCCGTACGGCAGACAGCAGATCATGGTACTTCTCAGCCTTCATGATTACATGAGTGATGCCTCATAATAAATCTCCATTTACAAATAGAAATCTCTCCTTAGTTCTGCTTCCTTGGAGAACCCTAATACAGGTATCTACTGGCATTTGGGAAGAGCATTTTTTCTTTAGGCAGGGATGTCCTATATGTTGCAAGGTGTTAAAACTTCTGGCCTAGTTGTGAAATATTGATGACATTCCTTAATCATTCTGACAACAAATTTCCTTCTCCACCCCCAAATTTCCAAAAGTCCTCTGGAGAGCAGTTCTGCATCTGGCTCAACCACTCATAAGCTGTAGAGAGACTAGAAAAGAGAGAATCACAGAGTCAGGCCATTTTTACCTGCAAGAATTTAAAAAACAGAGTTTTTAAGGTTCTTCATGTTTCTTCTATTACTGAATTCATTCCTTGCTTCCTTCCTTCCTCCTTCCCTGCCTCCCTCCTTCCCCATCCCTCCTTCCTTCCCTTGTTCCTTTCTTTCTTCTTACTTTTTTTTTTTTTTTTTTTTTTGAGATGGAGTCTCGCTCTGTCGCCCAGGCTGGAGTGCAGTGGCCGGATCTCAGCTCACTGCAAGCCCGCCTCCCGGGTTTACGCCATTCTCCTGCCTCAGCTCCGAGTAGCTGGGACTACAGGCGCCCGCCCACTCGCCCGGCTAGTTTTTTGTATTTTTAGTAGAGACGGGGTTTCACCATGTTAGCCAGGATGGTCTCTCCTGACCTTGTGATCCGCCCGTCTCGGCCTCCCAAAGTGCTGGGATTACAGGCTTGAGCCACCGCGCCCGGCCCTTTCTTCTTACTTTTATTACTTCTTTTGTATCATCAAGAATGAGTGTTGAATCCTACTGAATGTTCTTATTCCACCCACCGAGAGGGTCATATGTGTTTCTGTTACTGGAAAGGGGTCCTGTTCCAGACCCCAAGAGAAGGTTCTTGGGTCTCACACAAGAAAGAATTCAGGGTGAGTTCACAGAGTAAAGTGAAAGCAAGTTTATTAAGAAAGTAAAGGAATAAAGAATGGCTAGTCTATAGACAGAGCAGCCCGAGGGCTGCTGGTTGCCCATTTTTATGGTGATTTCTTGATGATATGCTAAAGGAGTGGATTATTCATGCCTCCCCTGTTTTGACGTTGCCATGGCATTCGTAAACTGTCATGGCGTTAGTGGGAGTGTAGCAGTGAGGACAACCAGAGGTCACTTTCATTGCCATCTTCGTTTTGGTGGGTTTTGGCTGACTTCTTTACTGCAGACTGTTTTATCAGCAAGGTCTTTGTGACCTCCATCTTGTACCGACCTCCTATCTCATCCTGTCACTTAGAATGCCTTAACCTCCTGGGATTGCAGCCCACCCGGTTTACCCAGCCGCTATTCGAGAGGGAGTTGCTGTGGTTCAAATGCCTCTGCCATTTTCTCTTTTAATCTATTAATTTATATTTCTATGGCAGAGGTGACTTACTGCAAACCTATTCTGCCACTTTTCTTTAGTAACCACGATTGTATTTAGGTGGCAGTGTACCCAGTTAATGGACTGCATGTCTCAGCCTCCTTGGATGCAAGAAGTGGTCATGTGGCCAATACGATAAAGGCATAGGGCTGTTTGCATTTTTAGGAAGACGCTTTAAAATGAAATACACCATTGGAGTGCACCACTTTTGCCTTTCCTTCCTTCCTGCTGCCTGGAATGTTGATGTGATGGGTGGAGCTGCAGCAGTGCTGCTCTTTATCAATTCCTTGATAAGGTGATCTTGAGACTAGAAGCCAAACACTGGCATGATGGAGTAGACAGAGGAACGTCTAGGTTCCTGGTGATAGTACAGCCACGATATTAAGGTTGGGCCATCTGCTTCTGAACTTAATTTACATAAAAATAAACGTCAATGTTTTTCTAAAAATACAGATCGAGGTTATCAAGGTTGAAGTGAGCCTTCAACCACAGTGTGAAATGGCGCATTCGGATTTCATCTAAAGTAGGCAGCTGCTTCCCAGCTTCATTCAGCCACAGGATGGTAGCTTCATTTAATCAGATCTCTCGTTTTTCAACAGATACAGATATTCCAACTTCTGTATGAAAGCTCCCAATTTAAAAATGGTGGCTTGGCCAGGTATAGTGGCTCACGCCTGTAATCCCATCACTCCGGGAGGCTGAGGTGAGTTGACTGCTTGAGCCCAGGAGCTCAAGACCAGCCTGGGCAACATAGTGAGACCCCAATTCTACAAAAAATACAAAAAATTAGCCCAGCATCATGGCGCACATCTATAGTCCCAGCAACTGTTGAGGCTGAGTGGGAGGACCACCTGAGCCCAGGAGGTGGAAGCTGCAGTGATCCATAATCACACCACAGCACCCCAGCCTGGATGACAGAGTGAGACTGTCTCAAAACAAACAAAACATAATAGCTCAGCTTTCATTAAAAACATGGTGTCGCCTAAATACAATACATCTAAGGGTGATGTTTAGCCCACAGGGCTGCCAGTTGAACTCTGCTTAGGGAGGTTCCTTTCTGGGCTCATGCTGAAGTCGCCTTTGTAAAATCAGAAATGTATCTATTCACATTTAGCTTTTAATATCCCATGGGCAAGGTCAAATAGGGGAAGATCATGGACAGATGCCACCCCTCTACTTCTGCACACCACACAAGACACTGCGTTTTATTGCCTCTTCATGGTGTGTAGCAAATATAGCAGGAGTCCACTCAAAACTTATTTATTTATTTAACACTGAGTCTTGCTTTATTGCCCAGGCTGGAGTGCAGTGGTGTGATCACAGCTCACTTCAACCTCCGCCTCCTGGGTTCAAATGATTCTCATGCCTCAGCCTCCCAAGTACCTAGGACTACTGGCATGTACCACCGCACCCATCTATTTTTCTATTTTTGGTAGAGACGGGGTTTTGCCATGTTGGCCAGACTGGTCTTGAACTCCTGGCCTCAAGTGATCCACCCACCTTGGCCTCCCAAAGTGCTGGAATTATAGGCATGAGCTGCCGCGCCCGGTGTCAAAACTGTCTTTCTAAAATTTTGTTGGCTGGGCGCGGTGGCTCACGCCTGTAATCCCAGCACTTTGGGAGGCCGAGACGGGCGGATCATGAGGTCAGGAGATCGAGACCATCCTGGCTAACACAGTGAAACCCCGTCTCTACTAAAAATACAAAAAACTAGCCGGGCGCGGTGGCAGGCGCCTGTGGTCCCAGCTACTCCGGAGGCTGAGGCAGGAGAATGGCGTGAACCCGGGAGGCGGAGCTTGCAGTGAGCTGAGATCCGGCCACTGCACTCCAGCCTGGGTGACAGAGCGAGAGTCCGTCTCCAAAAAAATAAATAAATAAATAAATAAAATAAAAATAAATAAAATTTTGTCAGAAGGGGGTTGTGGCAGCTCTGTGCAACTTGTCCCCTTTCCTGTTTCCTCGTGTAATTCTGTTGGACAGTGTTGTTTAGCAGAATGATAATATTTTCAGATTGCTTTGGTCCTTAAAAAAAGGATGTGGCCTGCCTGCCCAGTGCCTGGGAAGCTGAAATACCAGGAAGAAGAACAAAATCCTGGGTGTTCTATTGAGAGTGAGAGGAGGACAGGATTTTGATTGTTCTACAATGATATAAAACTCTCCCCTACTCCATGCCACACTGAGAGACAGCGTGGTGGATCGAACTGGGAGAAGGCCCGCGGAGCCCAGTGCGCCCTCCAGGATGGACATTTATGTCTTGATAAGCCTGGGGGTCACCATGCTGCATAATGAGGCTGGAGACCTGCCACTGATGGTGGTTGTCACATGTCATGGCTTTCTTCATTCCCACTTTCCCTTTCTGAGGCTGGAAGATATTTGGAGGGCGAGAGAAAATCAAGTTTGAAGGTAAATGAAAATATTGGGCACCCACTAGAATGTTCCACATCTGTAAATACGAATGCATCTTTGTAAACACTTAACATCTGTTTTGGGGGGTGCTTGTTTAAATCCACAGATGGCATTTTGCCAGAGGCTTCCTTTAGTTCCCTATTTCTCTCACTCAAGGTATCCTAGTTTGGAGGTCCAGACCAGGTGCAGCCCATGTACCCTGATGAACCCTGAGTTCCCCTCCCCATCATCTTCCTCACCTCACAGGTGCGGCCCTGAAATGTGTTTCTACTGTCTCCTCACACAGTCCCCATGTTCCCCTCCTCTGGTTAGTTTTAGGGTAGTCTGGCCTGGGAAGGAATTTGGGACTGATCATGCCACGTCCCCTGGAATGGGACTAGAAAGGAATCCTGGGCTTCCTGGGGACCAAGGCCCCACTCAGGTTGTCATGGAAAATGAGGCTGAGAGCCCCTCTCTGCAGCACCCTGTGGGAGGGAACCCGAGGTCTCTGCTGGTCCTGGTGGGTACAGACCTGCAGCCATCCCGGTGCTCCGTGAAGCTCACTGATTTCCCCATGAAGCCCATGGAAGCCATCACTGGTTTCCATGGGAGCGGACCATGGCCACTCCTGCTCCTGTTCCCTGTGGGAAAGGGCCAAGGGCACCCCTGGTCCTGGTCACTGTGGGAAGGGACTGTGGTCACCGCTGGTCCTGGTCCCGGCGGAAGGGACTGTGGTCACCGCTGATCCTGGTCCCCGTGGGAGGGACCGTGGTAATCGCTGGCACTGGTCCCCGCGGAAGGGACTGTGGTCACCGCTCATCCTGGTCCAGGTGGGAGCGGACCGTGGCTACCCTGGTGATGGACCCCACGGGGCGCACCCGCGCCAACCCGCACGCAGAGCTCGCGCCATCCGAGGGCCCTGGTTCCCGTCCTCCTCCCCGCCTGGCGCCGGAACCTGCGAGCTCGGGCGCGGCCTCGGGGAGGGGCGGGCGCGGCCTCCGGGAGGGGCGGGCGGGACAGACCCAGCCGCCCCGGCTCCCCCGCCGTCCGCGTCTGCGCCGCCCCCGGGGCCTGGTCGGCGGCTGCTGGGCTGGTCGATGGCCCGGGCGGCGGCGGCGGCATGCGGCTCCTGTTCCTGGCAGTGCTGCGCCCGCACACGGGCAACGCGGTCACGGCCCAGCGCGTCCGGTAGGTGCAGGGCGCCGGGGCCTGCGAAGTCGGGGCGGGGGGCGGGGTCTAGGGGGTGGGGACGCGGGACCCGGGGACGCGGGGCGCTCAGCCAGGCCCCCTCCAGCCGCGCCGGGGCCGCCTCGAGCCGCGCGCACAAACGGACGGGCCGGTGCCGCCTGCCGGGCGCGCGGGGGTCGGTGCCACCAGCCCGGCGCGCGTGTCCCCGGGTCTTTGTGCGGCCGGCGCGTTGGCCTTGCGCTCTGCGGAGGGGACTGAGCAGGTGAACAGGCCCGGGGCCGCCCGCGGAGGGGCCCGGGAAGGCCTCGCTGCAGCAGCAGGATGGGAGCAGGATCCGCAGGGATGCGCAGCAGGGTTCGCAGGGAAGCGCAGCACGGTCTGCGGAGCTCTGGGCGGGGGCGCGTTTCCAGGCCGGGGACCGCGGTGCCAGCCCTGCCCTCGCGGATCGGGTCTCGGCTGTGTGCCGGCGTCCGGAGTCCTGTCCCCCGAAATCCCTTCCCCACCTCCCCTCCGCCCTCTCTATTCTCGACTTCCTGGCTGGTTAGCTCCTTCACACTCATCTTTTTCTGCCTTTGTCTTATTTGTTTACTTGTTGGTGTGTGTTCTGGTCGGTGGAACCCAAGCCCGGCGGGGGCCCGGGGAGGGGCTGCCGCCTTAATCCCGCCGCCTCCCGCCTGCACCGCGGGCGCTCCGCCTGTATTAGCCGGATAAACATATTCCTTGAGGCGAAGCCTGGGAAGTGCCAGGATTAGAGCCTGCAGCTTAGCAGAAGCCGTGTGTGTGTGTGTGTGTGTGTGTGTGTGTGTGTGTGTGTGAAGAAAAACAGACTTGCTTCATGAAATAGGTTTTCCGATTTACTTCCCCTCTGTGGGCCTGTTTCCTCATCAATTTATTTTTTTTAAATGGAGTCTCCTGGCGCCCAGGCTGGAGTGCAGTGGCGCGATCTGGGCTCACTGCAATCTCCGCCTGCCGGGTTCAAGCGATTCTCCTGCCTCAGCCTCCCAAGTGGTTGGGGTTACAGGTGCGAACCACCACACCCGGCTAATTTTTGTGTTTTTAGTAGAGACGGGGATTCACCATGTTGGCCAGGTTGGTCTCGAACTCCTGACCTCAGGTTATCCGCCTGCCTCGGCCTCCCACAGTGCTGGGTTTACAGGCAGGAGCCACTGTGCCCGGCCTCCTCATCATTAAAATGAGCAATTGAGACTCCACCAACCCTTTCATGTCCCTTTCAGCTGATTTCTCCTAAAGCTCACAAGCAGAAATGACCAAGAGAGGATGCATCTGTTTTCTGAAGTTTGCTGGAAAATTTATATTCAGGTTTCATGGTGCAGGTTTCTATTAAATAGGTCAGTGATGCTCCGCTTGGGTCTAGCAATGAGGAGCCCTTTGTGTTCCTGGCTCTGTTGGATGGATCAGCATCCAGCATACCAGTACGGGAGAGGAATGAAGGAGGTGATTTCACGTAGGGATTGGTGCTATTAAGAAAGCAAAACTAGGAGGCTGAGGCAGAAGAATCGCTGGAACCTGGGAGGCAGAGGTTGCAGTGAGCCAATGGATCCGGGATCACGCCACTGCACTCTAAAAAAAAAAAAAAAAAAAAAAAAAACCTAGGGTGGGCGGGTGCGGCGGCTCAAACCTGTAATCCCAGCACTTTGGGAGGCTGAGATGGGAGAATTGTTTGAGCCCAGGAGTTAAAGACCAGCATGGGCAACATGGTGAAACCCTCATCTCTACAAAAAATAATTTTAAAATTAGCTGATGTGGTTGTGCGTGCCCGTGGTCCCAGCTACTCAGGAGATTGAGGCAGGAGGATTGCTTGAGCCCAGGAGGTCGAGGCTGCAGTGAACTGACATTGCACCACTGAACCCCAGCCTGGGTGGCAGATCGAAACTCTAAAAAATAAAACAAAACCGTTACCGGAAAGGGATCCTGATCCAGAGCCCGAGAGATGGTTCTTGGATCTTGCACAAGAAAGAATTCAGGGAGAGTCCTTAAAGTAAAAGCAAGTTTATTAAGAAAATAAACAAATAAAAGAATAGCTACTCCATAGACAGAGCAGCCCTGAGGGCTGCTGATTGCCTTTGTTTGTTTGTTTTTTTCTTTGAGATGGAATGCCCTTTTTTTTTGAGACAGAGTTTCACTCTTTTGCCCAGACTGGAGTGCAATGGCGGGATCTCAGCTCACTGCAACCTCCACCCCTGCAACCTCCACCCCCGGTTTCCAGCAATTCTCCTGCCTTAGCCTCCTGAGAAGTTGGGATTACAGGCACCTGCCACGACGCCCAGCTGATTTTTGTATTTTTAGTAGAGACAGGGTTTCGCCATGTTGGCCAGGCTGGTCTCAAACTCCTGAGCTCAGGTGATCCACCCACCTCAGCCTCCCAAAGTGCTAGGATTACAGGAATGAGCAACTTCACCTGGACCTGGTTGCCCATTTTTATGGTTATTTCTTGATGATATGCTAAACAAGGAGTGGATTATTCACGCTTTCCCTTTCTAGACCGTATCGGGTAACTTCCTGACATGGCCATGGCATTTGTAAGCTGTCATGGCACCGGTGGGAGTGTAGCAGTGAGGACAGCCAGAGATCGCTCTCGTTGCCATCTTGGTTTTGTTTGGTCTTGGCTGGCTTCTTTACTGCATCCTGTTTTATCAGCAAGGTCTTTATCACCTCCTGTCTCATTCTGTGATTTAGAATGCCTTCACCATCTGTGAATGCAGCCCAGTAGGTCTTAACCTCATTTTACCCAGCCCTTATTCAAGATTGAGTTGCTCTGGTTCAGACGCCTCTGACAAAACTAGATAAAATGATTGAGAGGCATGATGATGGCTGGGATGCTTTAGAGAATGTGGTCCGGGAGGCTGTCTCAGGAGATGACACTGAAGCTACGACCGCATATAGGCCGTCACTGAGATCTGGAGGGATGGTCCCAGGAAGGAATAATATTGAGAACACCGGCCCTGGGCTGGAGGAAGCATGAGCTGTGTGAGAAGCAGAAAGGCAGCCAGGGTCACTGGACTGTAGAGAGTTTGGGGCCAGTGCTAGTAAATGAGTCAGAGAGAGAGGCCAAGTCTGGCTTGTACATGTGGTGGGGAAAACACTTTGTGCTTAAGAAATAATTACCACTTAAAAAAAAAATGGTGAAACCCCGTCTCTACTAAAAATACAAAAATTAGCCAGCTGTGGTGGCACAGGCCTGTAATCCCAGCTACTCCGGAGGCGGAGGCTCAAGAATCGCTTGAACCTGCGAGGCGGAGGTTGCGGTGAGCCAAGATGGCGCCACTGCACAACAGCCTGGGAGACAGAGCAAGACTCCCTTTCAAAAAGAGAAAAGAAAACCAAAAAAATGTTGAGTGACCAAAGAACCTGAACAGGCACAGAGTTAAAAGCTTCAGGCAACAAAGAAATATTACCTGTTGTTTAACATTTTCCCCTAACTTGAGCTATATACCCACATCTTCCAAGGGCCCAAACTCACACCCACCCACAAGGCCACGTTACTTTTGTCCCAACTCAGAGGTGAATTAATAGAAAAAATAACTATGTTAGCTGCTCTCCTGAGATTCACTCTCCCATCATTCCATTGGTGGTGCACTTCTGAAGTTGCCTATCTTGCTAGGCCTTGGGGCTATGGAGAGGGAGGAAGTGGGCAGGGCTTATGCAGAAGGTTGACTTCAGCTAAACTGGAGTGGAGGGCTATTTAGTCACTTTGTTCTTTCTTTTCCTGGCTGTGCAGAAGCAGAATAAAGGCTGCTATTCATGCTTTGATGTTTATTCAGACCCAGCGTTTGTTGTCCTTCACCTCAGGAAGGATTGCTGGCGGAAGAAAAAGAAAAAAGCAGAAGTTGCTTGAAGACATCTTCTGCGTTGTGAAAGCTTAGGCTCCTTGAGGAAATGATGCTGGTGTCCTGGATGGGCAGGGAGGGAGGTTCCCTTGGTGACTGAGAGTCCCTGTGAGCTAATCAGCAGTGAGCAGTGAGGATCGGGTGTTCTCCTCCAAAATCCCTGCCAAAGACCCTGGAGACCACCCTCAACTGACCCTGGACCCTGGGGGAGGGAGTTCCCCAAATGCATAAATCTGGAGTTCCCATCAGCCTGGCAGAATAGGAGGCCAGAACTAGGTAAGACTGGATTTAAACCAAATGCATAAATCTGGAGTTCCCTTCAGCCTGGCAGAATAGGAGGTCAGAATTAGGTAAGGCTGGATTTAAAGAAAAAATGAAGTGGTTCTATTCTTACACAAGGTGGTCATTGTAAATCAACACCCCGTATATAAGTAATGGTGCAAAATTCTGATAAATGTATTGGCCGGAGAAGCACAGGATCCTCTGGGGACATATAGGTGGGGACCGATCCCAGATCAAAGGTCAGGGAAAGCCTTCTGGTGCCTTCCAAGCCCGTTCCCTGCTGACAAATTGCACGGTCCAGCTTTGTGGCTCAGTGTCGTTATTTATAATGATGATGCCAATATGGGTTGTGAAAGCAACTAAATGAGCTAATACACTTTCAGCATTTTTAAAGCAGTGTCTGGAACGTAGTGAGGACTAAGCTCTGATTTTTTAAAATCTTTCCCAGATTCCTATCTAAGGGGTCTGGGAAATCATGCCCTATAAACCATAAATTCTCATTAGATGGGTTTTATTTGACCTCATATATCGTGATTTACTTTCCAATCTGACTAGCATAACATTATGAGACAAAAAGAAAAATCAAAATATTTAGCCCCAAAACATGCTTCTCTGCCATATCTTGAAATGGCCCTGCAGAGCCATCCTTTGTGGGAGGAAAATCTGCCTCTGTAAAGAATCTCTGCCGGGCAGGGTGGCTCACGCCTATAATCACAGCACTTTGGGAGGCCAAAGCAGGTGGATCACTTGAGGTCAGGCGTTGAAGACCATCCTGGCCAACATGGTGAAACCCTGTCTCTACTAAAAATACAAAAATTAGCTGGGCGTGGTGGCACACACCTGTAATCCCAGCTACTTGGGTGGCTGAGG